AGCACTGCACACTCACGTATTGAAAACAAGTCGGCGATTTATTCTCGCTCCAAATTAGCACGCGGTGCTTAGGGGCTCCCTTTATAGCCCTGAAGCCAGTTGTGGATGTCCACGTTCTTATGGTAGAGTTGAGTGTATAGGACAACAGCTCTTGACTCCCACCCCACCCCTCTAAAAGTAGCACTAACTTTCTTCTTCGACCCTGGTGGAATGATGGGCTAATCATCTTATTACATGCATTTTGGTTATTAACCAGTGCTAATTTATTTGAATTATTTTTGACTCGCTGATAGACTGGAATAAATAAGCATATCCAAGTTAGTGTATTACATCTGGCCAATGCAACGACCAACGTTGACCCAACGTTTGCATTTTTACTGGGTAAATAATAAAATATTCCAGCAGCCTATATTGGCTTTCAAGACCCACATTACCAAGCAGCATTTGTTCAATTAAACAAGCGAACGCTGGAGCGGTTCGACCTTCTCAGTCTCGTCAGCAGAGTTAGGCTCGTTATTGGCAAGAGCACTCCGTATACAATACGGCAATATGAATAAAGCAATATACGTCCCCATTGTGGTCCATGGTAATGCTTACACAGTAAACATAGCATATTAGACCAACGTTCATCCGACGTTGCCCAACGGTTCCAACCACACGTCGTTGGCCCAACGTGGCATGTTTACTCGGTAATGAGTTTGTGCATATTAATAGAGCTGGTTACAGGCAGTCATGAAGTTATTAATTCAATCGTCATCTTAAGGTGCATGTTGAAGACCTCTGTCCACTCCACCCATGACGAGTGACTGCCACCTCCATCCGCTACGTTCCTCCGTCACGCCAAACACTCATTGATGGAATTGGCCAAACATTAAAATTGGCCCTTCTGAAAACTATTCCTGAGACACCAATGCAGATATCTTGCATAAAGGTAATTGTTTTTTTATCTTACCACAAAGCTCTCTGCTTTTCCTTTCAACAAACCGCTTGTGTATTCAGTGTATATAATATTGAGATGCCCTTGCGTCTAGATGCTTAATGAGTTAAAATTGTGTCATATCTTGCACTGATGATTAACTTCATGAGCCTTGAGAAATAACATCGGCTCCTACAGAATATCTCCATTTCAGTCTGGGTTGGAATCTTGGAAATTCAAAGTGACTCCTAAGAATATTGGGTACGTCAGTCTGGCTGTCCGAGCCTCAAGGTTTAATAGGCCGAATTAAGCCTCCACATTCTGGTGGTTTCATGTGTCTCTGTGAGCCGAAGTTTTAACAATAAGCCCAATTACCATACGTGGTTTAATCTACTTGTATACGCCTCATAAATTAACTATGAAACATAACATCTTCGGGGTTGTTTTTGCTCGTGTTGTATTAGTAACACAATAATGCAATGTATTCATTCATTTATCTCGGAGAGCCTCACAGTTTCAAGGGATAGAAAATCTGAGTAGTGGAGTGAGTACCAGAAGAAAACCCACCGCGATGAGAGGAAGGTAAAGACACTGAAAGATCCGCACAGATGGGTTCATAAATCTACTTCCTGTATTGTCATCTCGTGGTGTTTCGGACTTTCACAAATGTTAGTGAGCCACTGATCAGCCCTTGCCTCCAAAGTACTGGCTAAGAACCGTGTCATGATGTTATGCATCTTGTCGGGTATGCTTTAGTTGAGCTTCGTGAGCCTTGGGCACTTCCCCAGAATCCTGAGGCTCCTGTTATATTTGCCCTGGTGGACCAGGATGGAATTTTGGACGGGGGTTCTGCGTAATGCCTTGCGGTGTAAATATGTTTGACCGCAGCGCGTGGCGGCTTCAGTGAGGCATGAGGAACAACTGGTGAGAGACCATCAGGGCAGAGAGCGCGGAGAGCGGGGGAGAGGCAACAGGGAGGAGAGAGAGAGAGAGGAATAGGACAGAGAGAGAGAGAGAGATAGGCGTTAGAGGAAGAGAGAAGGGAAGGGAGGGAGTGGAGCTAGATATAGATTTTTAGAGAGGGAGAGGGGTTACAGGGAGGGATGTAGAGTGGTAGAGAGAGAGGACGAGATATGCAGGGAGGAGAAACTGGGCAGAGGCAGACAGCGGGAGGGAGATATTGAAAGGGATGGAGATAGGCCTAGCGATGGGGAGGATATAGAGAGGGAGAGGCAGGGTGGGAGAAAGAAAGCAAACAAGGATGGAAGAGAGAAGGTATAGGTATAATGCGGAGAAGAGGGAATCAGCGCAGGGTAAGAGGCAGGCAGAAGGGAAGGAGAGAGGAGGGAAGACGACGGTGGGGGAGTGGGGAGAGGAGAGGGGAGAGAGCGGGGAAGATCGTTCCACTTGGCTGGGCCCGTCTCGCCACATCAATCCGATACGACCCATGCCCGCGGCCCACAACGCGTGCCTTTTACTCTCCGCCTTCACCCCCCAACTCCTCTTCTCTTCCTCCTCATTATCATGTGTCTGTCTCTGATATATGTGCGTGTGGCTGCGTGTGGTATGTGTGGGGAGCGGTAGTGTAGCGGTTAGTGCGCTGCGCGACGAACCCGGCGATCCGAGTTTGATTCCCACTCACGGCCAACCCCGGTAACAGCGATTATCTGATCCGGCCCTGCCCCCCCCGCCCCCTAGATCGACTCAGCCTCAAATGAGTACCTAATACGATGTGTAAACATCGCTACTAGGGATACAAAGGCGGCCGGGCGTGGTGTTGGCCACCCACCCCCTCGTTGTGCCGTTGCGGACCTTCAGAGGTGCTCTCTAACAGCACTTGCCCCAACAGTCTTAAGGCTTTGTATGCATGTGAGTGACCTCTTGTGTCGTTGTGGGTTTGCACGTGCGTGGTATATCGACTGAATACGTGTGTGTGTGTTTGCACGTGTGTATACGTGCGTGGTATATCGACTGAATACGTGTGTGTGTGTTTGCACGTGTGTGTACGTGCGTGGTATATCGACTGTACACGTGTAGTGTATTTTGTGTCGACTCAGCGTCTCCACACCGCCACTGGTGGTGTGGAGACGATCACCTCCCAGCCGTCAGTCAGAGGCAGCCTTAATAGGTGCTCGCTAACAAGCAGGAAGCACGTAGGAGCTGAGAGAGTTGCTATTTGTAGTTTTGGGGGGGGGGGGGTCCCAAGGCGACCTTCGTTTACGGCTACGCTGGCTCTCTCGCCCCCTCTCCCCCCTCCCCTACTGCCCACCCACACCCCCGGCCACGGATTAGGGGCCCTGAATCGGGGCACCAAAATATATACCAGGATATGGATGCACCTAGCTTGGCACCAAGCTAGCTGTGCCGTGGTGGTGCTGCTGCTACTTAGTAGCAAAGAGCGGCGGTCCCTCTCTCTCACACACACAGACACAGACCTCTCACATTGTCACATCAAAGACAAAGATCCTCCCCGTATAGCCTGAACAGACTGTTGTTGGGTGTTGGGGAAAGTGCTGTTAGCGAATACCGATGAAGGCCCGCACGGCACACGCGGACGCCTTTGTGGTGATGTTTACACACCGCACCAGGTACTCATTTGAGGTTGAGTCGACCTATGGGAGTGAACTCGGCTCGCCGGGTTCGTAGTGCAGCGCGCTCACCGCTCTACTGCCGATCCCCACATTGTGGCATCTCAACAACCCTCACCGCCACACCTTCACACCTCTCCCACCACGACATCTTCCTAGCTCTCTCCTCTCTCACGCTTACACACATGTCTCTCTCAAACACATCTCCCAGAGATACTTCTCTTACTCAGGCACCGCATCCCTTCCACCTCGCGTGCTCAACGCCTCTCCCGCACCGCGGTGGCGACGCGTTAACTACCTCGCCTGGTGTGCAGGAGGTCGAGAATTCGATCCCGACCTTGACGCCTGTTGTGATATTTCGAGTGTGCGTGTCTCTCTCCCCGTTGCCGCGTGGATTTTTCTCCGGGTCCTCTGGTTTGTTCATCCCTATTTAAAACCAACGTGCGTTTCGAGTATTTAGCTCCTGTGCATTTTTGTCACGTGCTGATAAGCCACGTCGTTGTGCAATCATTTCTGACCAGGTGGCTTTCTGACAAAGAAATTTATAGCTAATTTGACATTACCTGGTCAAGTAACAACAAAACGAATAATGTGATAGTTATTATAGTATTACTATAACGCTGAATCGTATCTCTCACACATCTCCGTCTAATCCCTCCTGCACATCTCGCATCGTTATCAGCCCAGCACCACCTCTTTCTGTCCCTCTCATTCGGGGTGGGCAATTGTGGCGGCCATCCAAGGACGCAAAGCCGTTTCAGGGGCGGCCAAGAATGCGTCAGTCCTTACCTCGCGTTAGGGAGGCGACGTGCGGCGTCCGTTTGCTCAGGCAGCGCATACGCGGTGGCGATACGTTAACTACATCGCTTGGTATACAGGAGGTCGTCGTGGGTTCGATCTCGACCCTGACGCCTGTTGTATATTTGGAGTTTGCGTGTCTCTCTACCGCCGGTCGCGTGGATTCTTCTCCGGGTCCTCCGGTGTGTCCTTCCACATTTATAATGAACGTGCGTTTAGGGTATTTGGCTGATATAAATTTCAACATGTTGAACTGATATTTGTGGCCAGATCACTTCTAAAAAAAATATCTATATAGCTCAGTGGGCCTTATCTGGTAAAATAAAAGTGGTATGATTCATAACAAGTTTATAACACACACACACACGGAGTCGCCAATGTCAGAGCAACTTTCAGCACTCGCTCAATTCTTTGTTTGCCGCCAATCTACGCTGGTGCTGCAAAGCCGATGATAAAAAAAAACGTGCATAACAGGCATGAGCAGAGACAGATCTCGAAACTTCTCCAGGGCGGGGAGGTGACCACTGCCCTCCCCCACTCCATCCTGGATCCACCACTCGGCACGACCATACTTTGGTTCTTCAAATGCGTGCTTAGACAATTCCCAAAGCTTCGGGTGGGAAGGGACATCCCGAAGTATGAACAAGACGCAAAATGCGCCGGACACCGTCATCACACAAAGTAGCCTGGAGACCAAGAGCGGTGACAGCAGCGTGTTCAAGTAGACCCAAGTACAGGCAGTCATCGACTTACGAACGCCCGACTTACAAACACCAACAGTTACGAACCAGCTTCCATAAAAACTCGATTTTTTTTTGCATTGACTTAAACCGCGAACTCGCTCTTGCAAATTGAACCGTGGAACTATTTTGTTCAGCTGAGCGATCCTTCGCGAGATGTAATGAGTCAGTTTCGTGCTGGGCGTGAGTGTGTGTGTGTGGTAATTTAAATACAGTACATTATTGTGTTCCAACTTACAAACCGTTCGACTTACGAACGGGTCTAGGCAACTAATTATGTTCGTACGTCGAGGACTGCCATATGGCGGTCGTGTTTTTTGACTGTCTTGGCCTCACTTATTATCGAAACGTAGATAAAATAGGCGACGTTTCAGGCAATGGCCTCTCTTCACAGCATATAGAGAGGCCAGAGAGGTATGGTATGTTCTTTGAAGAAGAGTCATTGCCTAAAACATCACATTATATACTTTTTATTTTTAGGCCACAATATTGTTGACGAATATAGTTTTTTTTTACTTGTTATTTTTGCTTGTGCACCACTGGCAACGCAGCAGCAGTATTACCAGATACTTCACAGACATCGGTGTTTAGATACAAAAACAATGACACCAGTTTTCAGCACTTGCGTTATTTCCCCTGACGGCTCCAAGTTGGTGCCGGGTGGATTTCACGTTCTATTAATTTGGCTCTGTCTCACGCCCAAACCCTGGGGTCACCACTGCCCCGTAAGCTGCTTCACAGCTACGCAGCGACACCACAAAAGCCTGCGCTTTAATTCCAACGTCGGTCGTCGTGCTCATAACAAATCTTGCCGCCTATAAACGCGGTGGAAGATTACGAAGGCGATAACTGAACGCTCGGTCACATTCCAGCAGGATAACAGAATATAATATAATGCGACAAACTTCATCGCTGCGAGCTCCAAAACGGGTGAGCGAATCATAAGTGAAATAGGGGGTTGGAGAGAAGATAAGAGGCCAGGAGGTGGCGATTGTGCTAGGCCATCGTGGCTAGAGATCATGTTGCAATGCTATGTGTGTTGAAATTCTTTCGCACCGTACGTAGCCAAACGTGCTAATCGGAGGTGCGGGGAAGGACAACAAATTGACTAAAGTGTTTCGCCCCCTGATGATGATCTCAATTAGAGATGGTTTTCAGATGTTAAAACAAATATTGATTTCGGGATTTTTTGTTTGTTTGTTCAGGAAAACAACAGCAGAAATTGGACCGTCAAATGTTTGTATCACAATGTAATCAGGTGACGTGGCTTCGTACGATAAAAGTAATGTCGACCGATGTCACGTGACGTGAAGTTGTGGCAAACTTTCTCATCAAATCAAAATATTCCGAAAAAGAAAAAAAAATCCGTATCATCTGAAAAATGTCATATTGAGGCGCAATTTAGCGATTTTTTTCACATGCGTAAAAAATGGTAACATCCACAATCTTCATCACTCGAGCCAAACGTGGCCTTTCCTCACTTCTCATCCTCATTCCCTCCGAAGTTTTCAGCGACGTGAGCACTCCACCAACATGCGGTCACACGAATCCCAATATTTTGCCCACAACCACCACCCACATCCCCCACATCCCGCGTGCCCCACGTCCCCACTCGACGATCCCCGTAAAGGGGGGGGGGGTGGCCCCCTACAGAGCGATTCCGTCACTTGGCGACGATCGCTGGAACGGGGTTTCAACCGCTCGCGTTGAGAGAAACACGACCGTGCATATAAAATACAACAACAACAAAATAACGATTCCAGCGAAGGCTCCACCTATCGATTAATCGTGCAATCGACGCAGGCTTGTTCGGCAGGCAATTAGTCGCTAAAGGTGGTGCGTGCAAATGTGATTGAGTATTTGGCATCTTAAACGCACTGAGTATGCGTTTTAGAGTATTTGGCTGCTAAACATTTCCGCGCGGTAAGTCGTTTCGTTGAGCTATCGTCTGTGGCCAGGTAGCTTAGTGGGCCTTACCTGGTAAAATAAAAAAAAATATTTAAGTTCATAGATTGCATTTAAACGATTAGGGTAGATGCCGTGGAGTTTGTAATTGGCAAGGATAGAGCAAGCGGAATTTGCCGGAGCAGAGTAACGATTCTAACATCGAGGTTTGTTTTCTCGTCCCGTTTAACTTCTCTCGCTGGCTACTTCTGTCAAATGCATTGTCTCATTTGCACACACAGTAATTTGAATACATTGTAAATGATACTCAGTGGCACAATATAATGCGTGCACCAACAGCGTAAGAATCGCTTTCAGTCGATGATTCGATTAATCAATATTCGCCTTGCAAAGTGGTCTACATTGTGAGCTCAACTTTCATCCTCGTGAGACAAGGGTTCTGTATGGGATGAGACGAGCTTTCTGTAATGAATGGGATGAGGGTTCTGCATTGCACAAGATGTAGAGGTATGTATCTTATAAGACAAGGAGATGAGAACACAGTTTTGTATCGGCTTTAGATGAGGATGTTGTATGTAGTGGCACGAGACAAGGATTCTGTATGGGGTTCGACAAAGGCGCAATATGGGATGAGGGCTCGATCATTGGATGACACTAGGATTCTGTATAAGAGACGAGGCTTCTATACGAGATGAGAAAAGGCTTCTCTATGGTATGGTGTGATGTAGTGTATAATTTTCATAACCCCTTTTCAACAATAAACGGATTCTCAAGAGCTCTAAATTGGATGTGTTAGGTGTTCTATATGGGACGAGACCCGTTTTCTCGACTTCAGAGTGAATCTCAAAGCCGTCGATCCGCCTGTTAAAAGTCGACTTCAAACGACGACTCATCCTGCTCTATATCCGGGTGAAACGGCGATTCCTCCATCGCCGCGTGCGTTGTTATTTTCCTGTCGGTAACGACGTCGAGTCGACCCGCCCGACTATTGCTCGGGCACTTCGTCCGAGTCGTGGCAGCTCTCCCAGGGGTTACGCGGAATCCGGGGCAGGGAGATGAGCACCAGCGCCACCCCGGAGACGAAGAGGATGGTGGCGGCCGCCAGGGCGCACCCGAAGGACCACGAGAAGGTGACCGCTTCCCACATGGTGGCGTGGCTGTCGATCATGCGGTTCACCGACTGACGCATCACCTCCACCGACACCACCACACACAGGCCTGCGCGCGCGGCAGACGTCGTAAGAGGCGTAGCAGCTCGATGTTATGGAATCTAGGGCAAGGTGCCATCTTCCTGTCCTCCCTCCAGCACCGCACCACAAAACATTTGAGCCACCAGCTGCTACTGCTTGCCACGTTACCCACTATATGGCCACACATCTTGGCGGTACCCACACCCCCTCTCCACACCCTGCCAACCCCCTGGGAGGGCGTCTGGGACAGCCGCCACGCCACCCTGTCTCGCTCCGTATTTGCTACAGCACTGGACGTCGAGCCCAAAAGGCAAAACATTTTTTGGTGAATTCTCTGTCGTGTTCGATGCTTCTCGTCCACGGAAAAAAAACCCACATAATTGTTCTACATGACACTTCGACGCAATGCTGAGCGAGGAAGCTTGCAAAAATGCCTCCTTCCGTTGTAAGCATGGAACGTTGTTGGTTCAACAACGGTTCCAAGCACATGTCAGCGATGGCCCAACGTTGCCATGTTTACTGGGTTGTTATTTCCACCGCGCGGAATTGCTTTAACATTAGCCAGAGGTCTCTAGATAGTGTGTGGGAGTACCCACCTTTTGCCCCACCACGTGCAATCTTACGATCGACTGCGGCGCGTCCATTTATACCGCTGGTTGAATAGAGGCGGTTACAGAAGATTTAAGAAACTCGCCACCATTGTTTGTACTGCCGTGCCGGGAGGTGGAATCGAACCGGTGAACTCTGGGTGGCAAGTCCAGTGCGCTGCTAACCATTACACCACTGTGGCAGATCTCTTGGTTTCTCAGTTAAAATGTTATATTCATTGAGAGACATTTCTATACGTGTGTAAAAGTGGTCACCGACTTTTTTTCTGCCATATTTTCCACGCAGTGGCTAGTAAAGTAAATTGTATTTATGCTTTTTTTTATCAACCTTTGTTATTAGTCATATATAGCTAATTTTCAATACCACATGCCCCTTGTTCCTTCCGGGCAAAACGAACCCTAACTCGACTCTCTAAGAGCAAAGTTACTCGAGTTGGCGCTGTCACTGACTGACTGACAGATGGACGGAAAAACGAGGTGCGTCTGTGTATTATCTGAACCTGTCATGGGCCTCCCCTAGGTCGACTCAGCCTCAAGTGAGTACTTGGTGCGGTCTGTAAAAGCATCGCCACTCGGGAGACAAAGGCGGCCGGGCGTGGCTCCTGGCCACCCACCCCCTCGTGTGCCGTGTTGGCCTTCATAGGTGCTACTCGCTAACAGCACTTGCCCCAAGAGTGTGTTAAGGCTATCGGGGGGATCTTTGTCTTTTGTGTCTACGTGTGTGTACGTACCAGCGCAGAGGCACAAGAGGCCAGCGGGTCGCATCATGTACGTGCGGTTCTTCCTGAGCCCCGCGCCCACGCACACCGCGCCCAGGATCATCAGCACGAAGCTCAGCAGGCCAATCACCGCCGCTGAGATACTGTACTCTGCGGGTTTCAGAGAGGGCGTTAGGAGGGCACGTTGGGTGTTCAGGGCGAAAGATAAGGCGGGGGTGAAGGATCAGGGCACGGGTCATGGAATGGTTTAAGGCAATGGGTCACTGGAATGGGTCAGAGCCATGGGTCGTGGTACGGAGGAACGTGGCATAAGGTCAGGGCATAGGGTTATGGGATGCGATGGGTTAGGGCATGGGTCATGACGTGGATCAGGGCATGGGTTGGGATAATGGGATATGGCATGGGTTGTTAAGGGTTAGGATATGGAGACTCAGAGGGATCACACAGGGGTCAAGCTCTGAGGGGTCACTGGGGAGCTGGGAAAGAGGAGAGCACGTAGGTCAGAAGTCATGGAGTTCAGCTTCGAGGGGTCACAGGGGCGCGTGGTGAGACGTGGGATCACGGATTTCGAGTGATGGCGCGGGGCTGTTTTTTTCTCTCACAGAGCCTGGCATCTTCACCTTTCTGCGTGGCGACCTCAAAGTCATCTCCGGCTCCCAATTTAAAGTGCTTGAAGAAGGCGCATTTGATCTCTACAGAGAGGGCGTGGGCAGCAAGGCAGATGGATAGACAGTTTGTAGATAAGGACACGCATTATGATACAGATAATACAACGGACAACCGGATGAACAGACAAGCAAACATTATAAGACACAAAAGACAAACATACAGACGACAGACAGTCAGTGAGACAGATATACGGTCAGGCAGCCAGACAGAGACAGCGAGAGAGAGACAGACGAATGATAAACAGACAGACAGACAGGCGGCCAGGCCGAATGACCGACATACGGAGAAATACAGTCAGAAACATAACAAGACCGACACACGAATCAAACGACTCACAGACAGCCGATTAGACACGCACAAAGCGCTGTCGGTGGACTTCAGAACGCGCAAATGAAAACTAGGAAAAGCCTCGCTCGCATCTCGCCCCAGGCTCTTGTGACCGTAACCAATTTCCTTTTCCCAGCGTCGCTTCTCCTCGCCACATTCCTCGCATTTCCTCGCTGCGCAGAGCGCGTGTTTCCTACGCGGTGTTTGTGTTCAATGTTTAGACCAGTGGTTCTTAACCTGGGTTCGATCGAACCCCAGGGGTTCGGTGAGTCGATCTCAGGGGTTCGGCAGAGCCCCCGCCACGGAGGTCTGGACACACTTGAATTATTGTGTAAATTTGTGATGACACACACGGCCCGCTTGGCCATCACTGGCTGCAGATGATCATGCTACACTGCTTGGCCAATCAGCGCTGCGGGGAATTTAGTGCGTACTCAGTAGTCAACGTGTGACTGTTGTTGTCGTACGTCGTGTGATTTCTTTAATATTTTATCCATACTAACTATGTCGGGCAAAAGAAGAAAGTGGTCGGACGAATATGTACAACATGGATTCTCATGTATCACGGAACGTGATGGGAGTGAGCGTCCTATCTGCATGATTTGCAACGCCAAGTTGAGCAACTCTAGTCTTGCACCGGCAAAACTAAAGGAACACTTCTTGAAGCTGCATGGAGACGGGGAATACAAGAACACAACACTTGCTGAATTCAGGGTGAAGAGAGCCAGATTCGATGAAAGGGCCACTCTGCCTGCTCTTGGATTTGTACCTGTTAACAAACCGATCCTGACAGCATCGTACGAAGTTCCTTACCTGATCGCAAAGCAGGGCAAGCCACACACCATTGGTGAAACACTTGTGAAACCAGCTGCATTAAAGATGGCGAATCTGATACTCGGAACAGCGGCCGAAGGTAAATTATCCCAAATTCCCCTTTCAAATTACACCGTCAGTGACAGAATAGAAGACATGAGTAAAGACATCTTGGCTCAAGTAGTCGCGGATCTGATTTCAAGCCCGGCAAAATGCAGCCTTCAACTCGACGAAACCACAGACGTTTCTGATCTAAGCCAGCTTGCTGTTTTTGTACGCTATGTGAAAGACGACATGATAAAAGAAGAGTTTTTATTTTGTAAGCCTCTTACAACAACAACGAAGGCAGCCGATGTGAAGAAGCTTGTGGATGACTTCTTCAGAGACAACAATCTTTAATGGGATATGGTTTCTGCAGTTTGTACGGACGGAGCTCCAGTCATGCTGGGAAGAAAGTCTGGTTTTGGTGCGCTAGTAAAGGCCGATGCACCACACATCATTGTGACGCATTGTATTCTGCACAGGCATGCGTTGGCAACAAAAACCTTACCTCCAAAAATGGCAGAAGTATTAAAAACTGTGGTGGAATGTGTGAACTATGTGCGAAAAAGTGCTCTGAGGCACCGCATCTTCAGTGAGCTGTGTAAAGAAATGGGCTCTGAATTTGAGGTACTTCTGCTCCATTCTAATATTCGGTGGTTATCCCGGGGACAGGTGCTGAATCGTGTTTTTGCCATGCGTGTGGAATTAGCCCTGTTTTTGCAAGAGCACCAACACTGCCATGCAGATTGCTTCAAAAATCCTGAGTTCATTCTCATTTTAGCGTACATGGCTGATATATTCGCAGCTCTCAATCATCTCAATCAGCAGATGCAGGGTGGTGGAGTCAATATCATGGAAGCAGAAGAACACCTGAAGGCTTTTCAAAAAAAGCTACCGTTATGGAAACGACAAACAGAGAACAATAACTTCGCAAACTTCCCGCTTCTGGACGACTGTGCAAGTAAGATCGAAGATGTGTCTGGAATCGGAGATATTTCTGTATCCACGGAACTGAAGCAAACAATTGCCACGCACTTAGATGAGCTTGCAAAGTCTCTCGACGGATATTTCCCTACAAGAGAGTCATATCCAGCATGGGTGAGACAGCCGTTCACGTTTGCTGTTGAAACAGCAGATGTCAATGATGAATTCCTCGACGAAATCATTGAAATTCAGCAGAGCCAGGTTCAACAGCAACTCTTCAGAACAACAACGCTCTCAACGTTTTGGTGTCGACAAATGAACAAGTATCCAGTTATTGCTAAGAAAACCCTGGATTTTTTTATACCATTTGTTACAACATATCTTTGTGAGCAATCCTTTTCGAGGATGCTGGACATAAAAACGAAGAAAAGGAACAGACTTTGCTGTGAAAATGACATGAGAGTGGCACTTGCCAAGGTGAAGCCACGCATATCTGAACTGATCTCTCAAAGGCAACAGCAGAAGTCACATTGATTTCCAGGTATGTAATTTGTTGTGAGTTTATGCATTGTGTTGGTTTTATTCTTTGAACAAGGTAATGTTCATGCACGGCTCATTTTGTGTACCAGTAAAAAACATATCTATGTCTTGAATTTGAAAAAAATCACATTTTATTTTTCACTAAAGAGGGGTTCGGTGAATGCGCATATGAAACTGGTGGGGTTCGGTACCTCCAACAAGGTTAAGAACCACTGGTTTAGACCCTAATCGGTAGCGACGGTGGGAGGGTCGGGGGCGGAGAGGTGGGAGGGGAGGAAGGGTGCCTTTTGATCAGCACCTTCATCGGTTTCGATGAAGGTGCTGATAAAGGGAAGCTGAGTTAAGTCGGAGGAGCAGAATGAGGAGGAGGAGACGATAATGATACGATGATGGTGATGGAGTTGAAGGACCTGGAGGAGTTGGAGGAGACGTGCCGGGGCGGCCCCCACCACCTGTCAAACCCGCTTTTGGCCGTTGCCAGGTCCCCTCGTGCGCCCCGTGCCCACCCCTCCCCACCCCCCTCGTCCCCCGCGCTAATTTTACCCCGAACTCGGCTCAGCTGTCGCCGTCCATCGGGCTCGTTTCACGCGAGCGAGGCCGATTTCTGTCGCCAACCGTGTCTGCCGCCTTAGCGACATGGGGGGGGGGGGGGGGTGTTGAAATGGTGGTACTTTGAAAGGGTGGCACCATCACGGTCCTCACCATTATCACCACCATCGTGGTTATAATCAAAGTAATTTTTTTGCAATAATCATCACCGGGATTTAATTGTCTCACTTGTGCTGCTATATTGGCCTGGGGTAAGGATTGTCACTCGAGTACAAGGTACGCATATTCATATTGATGCGAAATTATTCCACTCTTATACTCCTATAATCCTATGAGGACTAAACATTTTTTTAGTGAAGGTAAAATAAGCTGCGATGAATGCGGCTGAAATGAAGCACTGCACATAATAATTAGTTGTCGAACATTACCTTCGTCTCGATTTGAAGCTTTCGTGACTGCAAGGATCCATACTCTTTGGTTCTATTCGGTAAAGTCACGTAGGTTGTTTTATTTTTTACCTACGTGACTTTACCGAATAGAACCAAAGAGTTATTACCTTCGTCGTCATCATTCCGCGGAGTCAATGAACATCAGAGCCCCGCCTGATTGGTGTTGGGACGTGAACAGCTGGTGCCGCACCCATGGCATGCGCGCGGGTGTGTGTGGACCCCGTCATAGCAATGTGGCATTGGCAGAGCCAGCTGAAGGGGCACAGCTGAAGCTGAGCATTGGCACATCGCGCGTTTGAGCGGTCATGTCGGCTCACCATGTGATGGTGATGATGATGACGGAGGTTGTTGATGATTATGGTCAGTATAAACATGATGGTGATGGTGGTGAATAGATGGAGGGTTGATGGTGGTGGTGAATAGTTGGAGGATGATGATGGTGAATAGATGGATGATTTTGATGGTGGCGGTGAATAGATGGATGATGGTGGTGGTGGTCAATATATAGATGATGGTGTTGATAGTGAATAGATGGATGATGGTAAATACGTGTAAGCATCGTTTCTGCCTGGTGTTATTGTGGTTTCTGTTATTATTACGTCTAATTTTATTGTCTGTGACTCAGCTGAATTGGCTAACGCTCGTTGCGCCAAATTAAGACGTCCCAACGAAACGAGGGCGAGAGCGCCGGTCGGCTTGATGGTTAACGAATGAGATAAGGGCTCTGTAGTATGAAATTGTATGAGCCAAGGGTTTCGTATGTGATGAGACCAATGTTCTATATGGCATGAGGCAAGGTTTCTGTCCTGGGTGAAGGGAGGGTTCTGTATGGGATGAGACGAGGGTTCCGTATGGGATGGCTATATATTCGTTCCAAGTCGCAGAATCCCTTTCCACCGCAAGCGATTTTTTTGTATACAACAAAATGTAATCCGACAGTATCCATTTTTATGAAATAACGACAGTGAAGTTCCTGGTGTGTAGTATTTCTTTACAGATGTTCAGTTGATTTGCTCCAGTTGCCTGCATCTTGCACTGAGGGCTGAGCAATCCCTTGATGCAACACGCCTTTGAAACTCTACACGCGGCCCAATTCATCACAACAGGATCATGCTGCTCTTGATGCTTATGATGACAGGAGGATTCCTTGTGCGTGAGTTGAAGTGTCCAACCACACTCTCACCGCTCAACCGAGAGTGGAGGCGCCACTCATGCCCCACTGGTTAGTCACGAGCCAGTGGGGGATATTCCACATTACTATGGCGGGGGTCATTCTCCCCATGGGAGACCGATATTAACTTCCACATTGCTACTCCTCGCTTTATCTACCAAGGAAGGATGATGATGATGATGATTTGAACTTGGAATCTTCCAATTGTGAGTCAAGTTGCTTTAGCCATGGTGTCACTCGAGGTAAAAAAACCCACCATAATCAGCCATGATCTATCCACTGCTAGGTGAAGAATTTGCCAAGGCGTAACTATCTCTCACAGTTTCACGAGGCTGTTCTCATCGCTCCATCACCGAGGTGGAGACGTCCTCTCGGATGCGTTCCCTCCTTCGGCTGCAATACCGTTGTTAGTCTCGACCACATAAATATCGAATAATAATAATTACAGCAGTGTTATGTGTTTGGACGTATAGGCGGTACACCGGTGCAGCGTAACACAAACGGGCCTCATAAAAGTCTCGAATAACATTTTTAATCAGCCAATTCACCCTCTCGTTAAGTTTATTCACTCTCCTGAGACTTGCAACAACAAAAAGGGTCAATAATGACCGTTGAATTGGGTCCGTTGAATCGAGGAACCGTCCGACCAAGTCTTGGGCATCAGTCAAATCTGCCTTTGGAACACGGAGCCAACCAATCGCCATCAGGCTGGGCGCTGCTATACGGCAACAAACCGTGAAGCGTTGTGCTCAGCTGCTCATAAAAAAATAGTTTTCCGACTGCTTCGACATCACGAGAACTGATTTTGACTGCACCACCACCACCCTGCAATACTTTCTGACCGGTGTTGCGAATTGCGGGAAAATAAATGCGAAAAAGTCGCCTTTTTTATTATAAATACCGTGCACCACCGGTGTGCCGCCAATACGTTAATTTATCTCGGACTCTTTGTCAAGAGGGTCCTGGCCTGCATTTGGGATCTTTGCCTAAGTCCATTCTAAAGATAAAAAAATATTAACTTTTGATTGCCGTGGAAAGAAGTGGAAACCCGGAGAAAACCACACACACCACGCGCATCGACGAGCGGAAACACTCAAACGTCCGTGTAGACGGGTCCACGAACCCACTTGCTGTACCGCCATCTCCTGGCAGTCCAGCGGGATGGAAGGTTTGAGCGATCCACCAACCCCACCACCGTTGCTGCTCTATTGCGGCAATTCAACGTAACTAGACTCAAGTCGACTCCACTCCGTTCAACTCGACTCAGATGAATTCAGTGAAACTCGTATCAACTCCATTCAACTCAACTCCATTTGACTCGAACTCTGCTGAACTCGACTCAACTCAATTCAACTCAGCTTCATTCATCTATGCTCAACTCGACTCCGTTTAACTCAACTCCACTCGATTCAACGCAACTCCATTCAATTTTACTCAACTCCTTTTAACTCAGCTGCACTCAATTCTACTCCATTCAATTCTGCTCATTTCAACTCCATTTAACGCAACTCCACTCAATTCAACTCAATTCGATTCAACTCAATTCAGCTCAACTCGACTCAACTCCATTCAGCTTCACTCAACTCCATTCAACTCAACACAATTCAACTCGACTCAACTCCATTCAACTCAACTCGACCCCATTCAACTCTGCTCAACTTCATTCAACTCGACTCAACTCCATTCAACCCAACTTCACTCGATTCAACTCAACGTCTACTCAACTCGACTCAGCCCCATTCAACTCAACCCCCATTCAATTCAACCCTTCCACACAACTCCTCGTACCGCTGGTGGGGAAGTGTGCTTTCCGACAGCCGCCGTCCTCCACCGCGGGGTCGCGGGCCGCCTGCTGCCGGCACAAGCGCCATAGGCCAAGGTGCGCCGACTCGCACAGACTCGCGTTGGCCGTGCTCGCCGTGGCTTCCAGCACGGCCCAGTAGTTGGTGCTGATGGCCACCACCATGAGCGCGCAGCCAGCGAAAGCCAGGAACGCGGCCGCCTTTATCTTCCCTTCGCTGCCCTCCGACATCCTTGCGTTCGTCTGCCTCCCCCTGTGTAACCTCTCTGTCGCCACCGGATCACGGTGGTGATTGTGTGATTGCGGTGGTGGTGGTGGTGGCTGCGCCGAAGTTCTGGGTGTGAAGTGAACTTGGATTTTGTGTTGGGAGGAGGGGGATGATGAGAGGAGGGGGAATGTATGGCCTCTGGGGGGCCGGTGGAGCTCTTGAAACTCGAAACCTCGGACAAATTTGTCGATGCGTGGGAGGTGGTAGGGAAAGAGGGAGGGAAAGGGGACAGTTTGGGTAGTGGCGGTTGAGAGATTGTGGTGGTTGGGAGGATGAGGGGTGGTGTTGCTTAAATGGTTGAGGGGTAGTCGGGTGGTTAAGGGCAGTGGTGAATCCATGGGGTGGGAGGGGGCGATTGCTCCCCACCAGTCCCCCTCCTGTGAGGCCCTGAAATTTTGGGGATAAAATATATTTTTTTAAATTCTAGAGTCCTATTTCTAAAGGTTGAACATTTGGAACTGTCACTCTTTGGGAAGTTTCTAGATCCGCCCTCGGGTTGAGGGAATGTGGTGGCTGAGTGGATGGGTGGGTGGTTGAAGGGTAGTTTTGGTCGGGTGGCAGCGTTGATTGGGTGGTTGAGAGGTTAGCATGGTTGCTATTGTGTGACACTTGTAAGCAACAAACACCCATGACTCACAAACCCATACCCAAGATTCAGACATAGCCCCCCCCCCCCCACTGCAAGGGGGATGGTGAGGGGACCGTGCAAGTGACCTACCCCTGGGTTTGTATTTGATCCCGGGCAGTGTCCCGTGGGTAGGAGGCCCGGATAATATTTCATGAGCATTTGGGCGCTAATTGATGATGCGGGATCAATCAATGGGCTTCGATGCCCGCAAGGAATGTGTTTATTTCCAGTGCCGGGGGTTTTCTGGGATCTGAGCCAATGGTGGTGGAAATTCCGCATTACCACGCGGAGAATCATCAATTGATTCATCTTTTAATTTTGGATGTGTTTAATCGGCAATTAATTTCTGGCTCACTGACCATCACCCATCACCATGACTCAGTGGTCTTCACCCATGAACACCACCACTACCCATAGCCATCATTCAATATCATCACTTAATGCCCATCACTATTACCCCTCACCACCACCATTATCCAGTGCCCATTGCCATCGTCATCCATCACCATATCACTCAATGTCGACCACCATCGCCCATAACATCACTCAACTGTCCACCACACATCACCCATCCTCCTTACTCGCACACGCAGGAGGATCACGTGGTGGTGAGCACGCAAATGCTTGCATTGGACCTCCTCCCTCCACGCTGTTCCCTTTATTCTCTCTCCACCCCGAGCCGAGACCAACTTAGAAACGCGACGCATGGACCAAGCCACCTTTTGCTTGAGCATTAGAAAAAATAATCTAATTAATTAGTCCTTTAAATATGATAATTATGGCTCTTAAACCCGCGCAAGGTTCAGCGTCTTGGAGCCGCGACGCACACGTGACGCTTCAACGCCCGGTCGCACAACGCAAGCGATTAAACAAAACAACAACAACAAAAAACCCACAGTTTTACTCGGAAACAACCGAGCGAGTTGAATCCGTCTCTCTCCATTGGAATAAGAAGCGTTGCCAACTCCCGAGATGAGGAAAGTCGCCCACTATAACCTAAAAAAAGGCGCTAGATGTCGCTGTAGATATAGCTTGTAAAGTCGTTAGATCAGCCACTGAGACAACTTACCGGAGTTATCACACACAGTCGACTGATGCAGGAACCGTGATACAAAGCCGGAGCCGTTCCGAAATCTGAAACAATGCATTTGTCTGAGAAAGTAGTTAAAAATGTGTCGCTAGACCAAATTGATCAAAAAAATTCTGGCACTCGAGAAACCCAATAAGTCGCAGTCGAGACCTAGCGAGCAAATAGCTGAGTTTGGCGACACGTGCGTGGGAGGCGCCCAGTGTCTCGCGCGGAACGGTGGCGCGATGACTCTTCCGTGCGACACTCGCTCGGTTAATCGCCCTGATTTAACCAAAATCGCTTCGCGTGGACCAGGGTTATGAAGGCTCAGTGACCGATGGGTTTTTAAACACCCCCCCCCCTAAAGTGACGGATTCACTCTGAAATTGTTACACTTTCACAAACGACAAGAGTAATGGAATCAAATTCCGCTATAGGTGTTTACCGCAACTCGGACACAGAACATTAGGACGCAAGACGCGTGCGGATTCATCTGGAAGCGAGTTTCCCTGCTGATAAATCAACCGCATGGGGGTGGGGGTGGTTAGGGAGCTGTAGTTACACACAGCTATAATACACAGCAGATAGACCGGACAGCTGTACGCACGGCAGAGAGACCAAATAGCTGTGCGTACAACAGACAGACCAGGCAGCTGTACGAACAACAGACAGAGCAGACTGCTGTACGCACAGCACATAAACCAGACAGCTGTATGCGCAACAGCAGACCAGAGAGCTGTACACACGGCTGACAAACTAGACATGGGTACACACAACAGACAACGAGCTGTACACTAAGCAGATACTCCGTACAAAAAGCAGGCGCTGCTCGTTAAATAAGGAGACAGCTGTTACTCAAATTTGGAGCAAATTGTACAGGGAGGCAATGAATCTGATCACGTGGCCACGATCAGCCGAACATAATAAATGCTAAATTAAACCCCTGATTCTAAAGCCTCAGTGTCCGGTTACATAAAACGCGAGTAATCCCTTCCACCCAGTAACTTATATTGCTTTAAGTGTCAAACTACACAAAGTGAGAATTACCCTTAATTATTTATGCAACCGGCCGCTTTTATTTATATAAAAAAATCCAGCTTTCTGGGTTTGGGTTTGTAGTTTGAAACCCAGATGACACCTACAGCAGCAGGGAAACTCACTCCCGGACTCAAACGCGGCTCAGTGTTCCGAGGCCTTATGGGCAACAGCTCACGAGCTGGCGCTGGCACCGGCACATTTAATAATGGACAGTAGCTCTTTGCACAAAACGGGCAGCCGCTTCCGGGGCTGTGCCCAACAAGGAATAGGGTCAGTGTCGGCGCGTGGCTCCAGTCTGTGGCGATCCTAGAGGATTTGGACGGGGGGGGGCGGGATACGGGGGGGGGCTCCATGCCCCCTAATAAACAGCAATGCCCCCCCCCCCCACTAACCACTCTGTGCCCCGAATTAAGAGGTAGCTCCTCGAGGTGGCTGGGGAGGCACTCAAATTCAAATTGACAAATGAAAGAGGGCATCATCATCACGGCCACTGATGCTACCACTCCTATCGCCATCGTTTCCTTCTGCCACATCCCGCAGCGGGAGCGCAGGCAGCACGTGACCTCCAAAGTCCGCTGTCGGGGTCTCACGCCACTTGCGGAGTTCTACACCGAGGCTGTAGATATAGTTGCCTCTCCACACCCAAATCGATTCCGCTGCCCAGACTCTCCCCTTGTTCCCTCTTGTTCACTGGATACCAGAATCAACACTGGTGCGCCCTGGCTTTTCAAGTTTCGGATGCCGCGAGGTGTAGGTAGATTCATTGATGAGTGGATTGACACAGGGATCGAGTGATGGTGGTGGTGAATAGGTGGATAACGAGATGCTGGAGTGTTGCGCTCTCACCAAGACCGCCGCGATGCACACCGTGCTCTCACGTCTAGCGGAGAAAGCGCTGATGATGAAGCCACTGACAGCGTATTCCAGTGACTCCATGAACCCACCTGCATGTGCTGACACCTGATCGTGGGAAAAACCGAGATGGAGATTGCAGCCTCCTCAACCTGGAGTCACAAGCCGACAGTTGATCGGGTCTGGTTGGGTAGGGTCATATAGGTCATATCAGGTTTGTGGGGTCGGGTCAGGTCATATCAGGTCGGGTAATGTCATGACCGACACAGCTTGGGGAGGCGTTCATTCAGCAGTGGATTGACATCGGACTTTGAATGAATGATGAATGAAGGAAGGAAAGGTCGGGTCGAATCGCGGAGGCGTGATGACAACCATGAGCGTAGGTCGCGACGCTATTGCTTCAGAAGAGAGAAGTCAGAAGAGGTGAGAAAAGAGAGGTCAAGAGAGGATCATGGTGTGAGGAGGTGAGAGAATAGTGGAGGAGAGGTAACGAAGTGAAGAAGAGGTGGATGGAAGTAAGATGAGAGGCGTGGAGTGAGGAGTTAAGTGGAACTAAGAGCAGTTGCGAAAGGAGTGGCAAGAAGGAGAGAGGAGGTGTGAGGAGCGGTTTAGGAGACGCGCGGTGATTGGCTAGGGAATCTGTTACAAAACGACACTGCGCTCTGCTGGTAGACACGTGACCCATTCGCTCACCTGGCGTGGAGAGTTTTTCAGGTGTAATTAAGTAAATAAATAAATCGGTATACAAATAAATACATAAATAAATGTAAAAACTAATACAAAAAATACACGGTACAAATATAAATAAAATACTATTATGTTTCGCGCGCAGAGAGGTTTGGGAAATAAATTCTCTGAACACGTGACCACGGCTGTCCCCACATTGACACTTGGAGGGGGTGAGGGGCAGCTACATCACTTTGGGTCCCGAGACAATAGACATCCGCGGAAGTCACCTTCACACAAACAAAGTTACGCTCGCTCGGTTGTTTATGCGTTGACACAGATCTGCGGCTGTGGTTGCAGCTATATATACGGCTGTAAATTCAGAGTTCAGTTTTTCTTTGTTGCGCTATGGATTAGCGAGAGGCGAAACTTCCGCAGATTTAGCTGCTGCACCTGAATTTACAGCGGTGGCGAAAGTCAGACACAGAGCGGAGAACTGCATCGAATTCATCCTACATCTCTCTACCTAAATATCTCTACACATCACTTCGTATAAGCACCTAGGCACACCTGGGCACAGTTTGGCACACCTCGCTCCCTCATCTGGATTCGAACCGAGTGACACCTCCCTGTGAGGACGCGGATTCTGAACCCGTCGCCCCGTTATTTGTAGCAGCGCGTTTTATTATTGTGATCATCATCGCCACTGTGGTTGAACTGCTCTACGCACCCCCGCCCCAGTCATGGGAATGTGGAATTTACTCCCCTCTCCCTCCCTCCTCCCCTAGGCAAGACGGACCGTGGTCACGAGTGCAACACGGGTGTGAAGTAAGGCATTCATTCATACGAGTGTCGCTTAATGGCACTGAGAGACGCGGCTCGCTGCGAGCGGCCCCGCGGGGGGAGGGGGAAGGTATGGGGGGGGGGGGGCATTGGGGTGGGGGAGTGAAGGGGGGAGTCCACCCTGGGGAGGGGGGGGGCAGACAGGGATCCAGGTGCACACGGGATGACCCAGGTGTACACTGGGACGCGGCGCGTGGGCCGTCTCAAATGGCCATGACGTCTTCATTGAGGTCACTTTATACACGTGTTCTGGGTTTATTTTATTTACGTTTGTATGTACGTTTGTATCGATGTGTGTATGTATGTACGTGTGTTGTATGTATGTACGTGTGTCTTGTGTTAGTGCGCGCATCTCTGTTTGTGAATATATCTATGAGTGTGTGCGAATGTCAGTACGTGTGTGCGTCGTTATGTACCTATGTGTGTTCTGTGTACGTTTTCTTTAATTTGTGTTTAGTGTCGCTATGTACCTGTACGCATTTAGTATCTCCGTGTTAGCCTTAAGTGTGTATATACGTGTTGTACGTATGTATTATATATGTGTGTGATTTGTACAGTATATGTTTATATGTGTGTGGGTGATGTGTATATACCTATTTGTGTGTGCAGCTATGTATATGTAGCTATGTGTGGGGCCACTGCCCACGTGCACCTTTTAAAACATTTTCTTTCAACAAACATCACAACATTAAACACTGAAATCTGGTCCCTGACCCATTCCCCCAGCACCATCACCAGCACCG